CTGAGACACACTGAGACGGCTTCCAAACGTCGAACTTTGCAGGCTGCCAGGTAGATGGATGCCTCCAGCCGCACGAGGCAGCTAACAGCAAACTCTACAGGCGGCTGGACAGTTGGATGCTCTCCAATTCTAGTTTCCACCAAACATGAAACTCTGCTGGACAGTTGGATGCTTTCTGAACTCTGGTGGCCAACCTACCAAACATCAAAGTCTGCAGGCTGCATGCCCTCCGAGCCTTGAGACACACTGAGACGGCTTCCAAACGTCGAACTTTGCAGGCTGCCAGGTAGATGGATGCCTCCAGCCGCACGAGGCAGCTGACATCAAACTCTGCAGGCGGCTGGACAGTTGGATGCTCTCCAATTCTAGTTTCTACCAAACATGAAACTCTGCTGGACAGTTGGATGCTTTCTGAACTCTGGTGGCCAACCTACCAAACGTCAAAGTCTGCAGGCTGCATGCCCTCCGAGCGCTGAGACACACTGAGACGGCTTCCAAACGTCGAACTTTGCAGGCTGCCAGGTAGATGGATGCCTCCAGCCGCACGAGGCAGCTAACATCAAACTCTGCAGGCGGCTGGACAGTTGGATGCTCTCCAATTCTAGTTTCTACCAAACATGAAACTCTGCTGGACAGTTGGATGCTTTCTGAACTCTGGTGGCCAACCTACCAAACATCAAAGTCTGCAGGCTGCATGCCCTCCGAGCATTGAGACACACTGAGACGGCTTCCAAACGTCGAACTTTGCAGGCTGCCAGGTAGATGGATGCCTCCAGCCGCACGAGGCAGCTGAAATCAAACAATGCAGGCGGCTGGACAGTTGGATGCTGTCGAAAACTCTACTGAACAGTTGGATGCTTTCTGAAGTCTGGCCTGCCGCAGTGGCCATCAAAAGCTTCATGCGGATCTCAGGATCTGTTTCGCGTGTTCGTGTTTCGAGGTGTGCCAGGACGCGGATGGTCCCTGAGATTTCTGCAGCAGTTCCAAAACCCTTCTGAGCAGTCAGACATAAGCAAGCCACAGACCATGCCAACTATGGCGGTGAAATGCAGTGACAGTCTCGTGCCCTGGGACGCTTTCTGGCTGTGGCAGTCACAGTAGTGTGTTGCAGCTTGAAGAGTCGGGCGTGAAGCACACAACAGTGCACGCATCCCGTTCTAAACAAGCCAGAAGCTACTCTAAGTTACAAGACGCTCACCGCAGCAGACTTGCAGCCACAATACATGTCATTGCAGCATTGCGCGTTTGTGAGTACCCAGCAGGTCTGGTAGGTTGCAAAGAGTTCACGAGTGCAGCTCTGTGCTCTACTGTACGGCGCTGTGGCTCGCGGGGAAGGCTACAACACACAGGACGGCCTGCAAGCATCTTATTTGTACAGATATGTACACGGGCGTTCTGTACATTGGTGCGGCAAAGAATGGCAAAGACAACGCCCACCACGCCAGAGCAGAAACACTACCGCAGGACGGCCTGCAAGCATCTATCTGTACAGATCCTAAAACGAGCACTTCTCTACAGTGCTGCGGCAAAGACAACGCCCAGCACGCCAAGCGAGGAGCAGAAACACTGCTGCAGGACGGCCTGCAAGCATCCTATACAGATCTCCACACGGGCATTCTGTACATTGCTAGGGCAAGACAAAGCCCACGACAAGCTACAGAAACACCGCACGTTCACCCTCCCAGCCGCATTCTCACCACTTCGCTCAAATCTGCATCTGACAGGCGCCGCGCTTGCTTGAGCAGCCTCCGATTAACATGTATTGGTGCTTGTTAGGGGCAAAACTTCTTGCAGAGAAGGCGCCTTTGCTTCTTCTGCTTCGCGCTCTTCAATGCCCGAGTCGCCCTCTTCATGGATTCTTTCAGATCCTTTCTAGCCTGTTTCAGGCGGGCGAGCTGCGTGTCCAAGCTCTCCTGCCAGGTTTAACGCACAGACGCATTTTAGCAGCACCCTGCAGACTCCGCTGGGCTGTTTTTTCTACCGTGTGTCCGTGCCACAAAGTAGCCTCGCGGACTGGAACAAGTCTAGAGGACATGAAACAGTACCCCCCGAGTTCAGCCTTTACCGGCGCGCCTCAAACCAAGCGCAAACGCAGGTGCCGACCACGCGCAAGACGAGTCCATGCGTCGAAAAGATCATCTGTCAAGACGTAATTACGAGGAAAAATTGAAGCAAGCTGGTCGCCAGTGGGCGCACTTGAAGGTACCAGCGCGAGGGCTTCTTGATATGGTCGAAGATCACGCGATAAGCGAACAGGGGCCTCCGGCTCCAACCCCAAAGACGCAAAACCTGCCTTCCATTTCCTTCCATTGAAAAAGGTCTGGCTCAAAGCAAAGACTCGGCGTAAAAAATCCTCTGGCAGTGTCTCGCTCTCTCCCAGACCCATCTGAAATTGCTGTTTGAGATGGAACTTGAAAGCCGAAAAGGCCAGTGTGTCCAAAGGCTGAATCAGCCCAGTTAGGCCTGCTGGAATGACAGCCATCCAGATGTTGCTGTTGTTCGCGGCGCGCACCGTGTCGGGGTGAATGTGGGAAGCATGACAATCCAGAAGCAAGATTGCTTGGAAGGCCGGGAAAGCAGCCATTACATGTGACAGTTCCTCGAGTACACGTTTCATCACCCGAACCGTTGACCACGCGCTTGCCTCACGCCAAATATGTAGGTTGTCCGGCTTCTGAGCAGAAACAGTCCGCACTGCTCGAGCGCTGAGAACAGAACGCTTGGCCACAAGGAAACGGGGCAGCAAGGGCTGCAAAGCTTCATTCGTGCAGATGATGGGCGTATAAGTAAAGCCTCCCCTGCGACGCTTCGCGCCCGTCACTCTGGTCTTGCGAAGAACATTGCCAGCAAGTGAGCCAGGGCTCCAGGGGATGTAGCTTTCATCCAAGTTCAGCAAGATTGGAATCTTGCCAACGCCGATACAGCAGTGGCGTAGCCAGAACACCCACTGCCACAGAGTTTTTACCTGAACACAAAGAGTCAGAGGACCCAGAGCAACCTAAAGGATGCACATGTTTGAGGCCACTATGGTGTCAGAATTTGAGGCCACAATTTGGCTTCATTACTCACGCGCCCATATACTACCGGGGACTTTCTGAAGCCGATTCGGGCTTCACTGTTTTCTTCGCCAGACCTTCGCCGCAAGCTCTGCGCAAGGTGCAGGAGGCTTCACCGAAAGCACTCGAAAAGCAACATTCCAGCGTTCGCGGAAGTCTGCAGACCACTTGCGCAAGTACCGCCCAGCGCTGTGATTCAGCGAATTGTTGTGGACCGCCCTCGCCAGCGCACCGTCCCACCGGGAGTCATGAAAAGCTTCGCAAAACATCAGATACTTGCTGGCCATGGCAGCCGAGCTAGGGGCGGCGCCGAGCATGTTTTGAGACTCCAACCATTCAACTGTTCGCAGTTCCGCCAAAAACGACACTGCTGCGTGTCGGACACGCGCGTGTCTTCCAGGTTCCCCACACTCCAAAGCAATCAGTTCGTCGATGGAAGTTTCTAAGTACAGGCTTTCTGTCAACTCACGCACCTCTGCTGCACTGTGGCTCGGTTGCTGCCGGACCGCATTTCTTGAAGCCACATACAATGCCACAGCATTGAGATTGTACCGCGACAACAAATATATCGCCAACACGATGCTCGCTTCCCGCACGGTCAAATGCAGCGTCGCCGCACGTGCTTTGGATCGACTCAAAGCTTTTCTCACCGACGCCATGCATTTCTGTACTCTGCGTAATGCCTGGCTCAGAACCAATTACCAAACCTACTGTGTGAGATACTCACAAAAACAGCAAAAACCTTGGCATGCCCAACCAGTCCTGCACAGCTGGTGCCTCGCCGCCACGGTTGCCGCCGCCATCAGCCCTGCCTTCGGCACGGCCGCCCAACTCTTCCATGTCTTCGGCCGCCTCTCCCATGAGGCAGGGTCCACGAGAACTGGCCAGCGAGCTACAGACAGCAGAGGAAAAAACTGCAGAAGCCAAAATAGCATTGCAGCACGGCCCCGTCATTCCAACACGAACAGGTGCATATGATGGATGACTTGTCCCGCAGAGCCCTGCACAACTCGCAGGGTACCGAAACTGGTCCTGGACTTTTCCTCTGCATCCGAAGCAGAAAGTAGCCTCACCCAATGTTACAAAATCATACAGATTGGCCCCCCCGCCCCCCAATTTCAATGTTCGTTTCTTCCAGCCAGCCAGACCGGCAGTGCCCCCTCACAGCAGCAGCAGACTGTCCACTGCAACATTGAAATTAAGGGGGTGCGGGGAAATCTGGATTCAAGCGTGAATACGAGAGTCTAGCTGGATTTAATGACTTGGTTGGAAACGGAGGCCGAAGCAAAGACACATGGAGCGGGAAAGGCTGCAAGTACGGACGGCAGCTGCTTCCAGAGACAAGAAACTATCCGCAGCACATTTTGACGCTGGTCTTGCACAGCACGGCCGTCGTCACGGGAGCTGGCAACACCTGCTCACAAGTGCGTTGAAGAGCTTCCACTGCCTGCAGGCATTCCTACACTCCTAGACCTTCGTGTTCAGAGCGCTGCCTGGGCAGCTGTTCCACCCTCCACTTGTGTCAAAGCCCGCCTCTTCTGCACAGCGCGGCCGTCAGCACGGGAACTGGCCAAACCTCTGGTCAACTGGGTCGTGACAGGGAGTGCAGCGTGCCTGTAGACCTTCACGCATCGTGACCTCCAACAACTTCCACTCTCCAAGCTCTGCCTTGTAGCCTCAGCCATCCCACCTTCCACCTGCCTGGCCGGCGTTCCAAGCCCAACAGTCAGCACAAGCTGAGGTCAGAAGGACATAGCAGCACTGAAGACACTTCAGAACGGTTGCAAAAGCTCGGAGAAGTCGCATGCTGTGCACAGTGCATACGCATGGAAAGGGAAATTTCACGCAGCGCGGCTCTCGTCCTCCAAGTTTGTGATGTAAGCATGTGTTGTGCCACCTTCCAGCACCCTGACTCTTGCACGTCTCTGCACAACACCAAGATCTGCTCGCGCAGCTCCTCCTCTGTGCCTCTGCTTGTCGGAAGAGTTTCCTACGGTGCGGCGCGTATCTAACCTCAAAAACTGTCAGCTCTAAGGTTTTTGTCGAAGTTTCTCTGGGGTTGGAGATCCTAAACCCCGCAGAAAGTTCGAAAAAAATGGTGTATGACACGGTCTTACATTTTGAAAGAGACATTGCGTCGCTACAATCTGTCCTACGGTTTTTGCACCTCTAGAACAGGCTCGCCGCAATCTTTGCCTCAAAACTTAACACCATTTTGGTCGAACTTTCGGCGGGCTTGAGCATCTCCAGCTAGTCAATGCTCCCTGTGGTCTTCAAACATTTTTCCGCGCCTTCGGTTGGCTTTCAGCCCATCACGTAGCCATCACTTCGCGCTTATCCTCCGGCTCTGCGGAAGGCCCAGACGTCCAGGTTTCTGCTAGACTTGCGGAGTTTCGTGACGCTGCGAATGAAAGGAGCAGGTAATGGTTCGCACGTTTGTAACCCTGCCAGTCAACATCCACAGCATCGGTGGCGTTAACCTGACGCGGTTTTTCCTGCATTTGCAGATGACATAGACCGGCTTTCTGGGACCCAAAGCAAAGGCAGACCAAAGCGCTCTCCCGAAATCCGCCGCCTGGCACAGCGATTAAGTTTGAAAGGCTCGTGGTGCAGCTGGCGCACAGTTTTGCCGTGGCCGACCGCACGACTCTTTCGTTCCTCGACACCAGGTGATCAGACAGCGCTTTAGCTGCTGACTGCCGACAGGAGGCGGCGCTGCTCGAAAGGCAGCAACTCCCCCCAAGATTGCAAGCGCCTCCAATCTTCTACACTAAGCTCCGTCACATGCACGGCACCCAAAGCGTGGAGCTCGGCATCCATGTGCTGCATCTTCTCCGCGGGCAGGCGGGCTTGCACACATAGAGCTGCAAGTCCAGCCACACCCGCAGCTTCTGATGCTGGTTCCACGGCTCTGGGCGGCCCCACGACACGGACCACCTGCTCTGCATCGTGCTGCGCTGCCGCGTCGCGGATCCACGCGCACATGCACTGCTTGCAGGGCTGCGTGTCCTGGAGATGACGGACGGTGGCGGTGGCCGTGAAAACATGGACACGGCTCTGCATGTGGCGCACATCTTCCTGGGAGACGCTACCATATGGCACCCAGAGGCCCTCGGACTTGGCGGTCATAATGCATCCACGATGCCACTCAAAGTCCACATTGCCATCGTTGAAGGCCTGCGAGACTTGCACCTCGAGGGGCTGGCCCTGAAACAAGCTCAAAAACGCAGTGACTGGTAGAGTCTCCTGGGCGTATTCCACAGGTCTGTAGTCATCCCAGAACAAGAACCGCTTCTCTTTCAACAGATTGCGAAGCGCGAACTTGGAGTTCAATGCAGGCTTGTGGAAAACGTGCTTGAACCCGAAAAGATCATCAAAGGGAAGCAAGATGGTTGTCTTCCCAGAATTCGTGGGACCTGCAAGAAGCGGCACCCGTGTTGTCTTCGAAGGGCCTGAGCGAATGATCGCCCGCAGGGCCGTTGCCAGCTCCTGCTGCGACACACACGCTGCATTGGCCGAGAAGAACGCTTGCACGGCTGCGGCATAGGTGCAGCTCCCATCATGTGGGCAGGCTTCCTGCGCTGTACGGCAGACCAGATCCCAGTCCAGATCTTTTTCGGCCGCTGCCGCGGAGCGTGCCATTCCCCAGTCGGCGGCTTCTTGCAGAAAGTCCGCAAGCTTTCTCTGATGCGCGTGAACGAAGACCTGCATCTCGGCCGTGCCATGGTCTTGGGCATATGCCAGCACGGCAGCCTTGGTCGTCAAGTTCTTCGCCAGCATGATGGAAGTCAAATCCAATTTGTTGAACTTCGGCCTTTTGGAGCTCTGTTGGCTTCCGCTGGCCGTTTTTGCGGACTCCTGTAAGTCCAAGGTTGAGCTAGGTCTCATTACGGAACATTATGCCAGAAACCTGCACGCAAAAACGCAAGGACTCCGATGCACAAGAACACTTTTCAGCCCAAACCAAAGGTCCTCGTGTCTACGCTTCCAGACTTCAGCCATCCATGGTCTCTGCGACTCGGCAAACAAGTCCAGCGCACCCCAACCGCCATCTTCTGACCAGGATACGGGGTTGGCATCCACCTCGGGCTTCTTGGCCGTGGGGATGTGTCCATATCGGACCGCGCTCCAGAAGCCAGTGTGCGAAGCGGAAAAGTGCGCAGCGAGGTGGTCTCGCTCACGCAGGGTGCGCTTTGCGGCAACGAAGCTACGCGATTGTCGCAGCAAGACCGCGACGTGGAAATGATGCATGCCGTCCGCATGCTCTTCTCGAAAAACGACGAGTTTGCGAACCAGCTGTGTAGCACCTGGAGGGCGGCCACGACCTGCAGCTACAGGCTCGTCAAAAGCCTTCCAAACGCAGCAAGCAAGGTCTTCGCGCGACATCGCTTCCAAATCTCGCAGATCGCGAAGCTCTGCCGTGCCCGGCAAGAGACGCGCAAATGTGAGAAAGTGGACTTGTGTCTTCTTAGATTCATCCTCGGAGCCGAGTATGTCCAGCATGGCTTCCATGCGCTGCTCGGGGCTTTGTTGCGCACGCGCCACACGGTTGTCCACGGCTTCGCGAATCCAGAGATTCACTTGGTCAGCGGCGGCTTCTAAGCCTTTGCGCCCGAAACCAAGATGGCGTGCGATTTGGCAGCGAAAGTCATAAACGCTCACCTGCTGCAGATCCACGCTGGGCAAAAGTTCGGCGATGGCACCTCGCACGCGCACCTCGGTTGTCTCGTCTAGCTCGACGGGTCCGTCTGGGTGTTGTTGAGGTTGCAGGACAGCTCGCTCACCGGGTTCTGCACTGCCATCTGCGTCTAGGTGTTGCTCCGGGCCATTTGCCAAGGGCTGGGGCTCACCGGATGCTTCGCTGCCATCAGCCATCGCCAAATTGCGCGCACATGGTTCGGACAGCGTCACGAAACGCGGGTTTCGTTTGCATACCCTGGCTTCTGAAACAAGAAATGCTTCCACAAGCGCTCGCTTGCAGTGAACTCATGAGGTGCGCAGATCTTGCTTGCGACAGGTTGTGACTGATGCAGGCGTGGCTGCTGCCTCGGCATGCCTGCTGGGCATTGAGCACCTCGCGGCGCGGTTTTAGCCAGCTGGCCTGGGTGGCTTTGCAGGTGAAGGCGTGATAGTCGCCCTGCCCTGCCCTGCCCTGCCCGGCCCGGCGGGGCCCGGCCCTGCCCCGCCCCGCCCCACCCCGCCCTCCCCCGCCCCGCCCCGCCCCGCCCCGCCCCGTCCCGCCCCGCGCCCCGCCCCGTCCCGCGCCGCCCCGCCCCGCCCCGCCCCGCCCTGCCCTGCCCTGCCCTGCCTAGTGCCTGAATAGTGCCCGAATAGTGCCCGAAATAGTGCCCGAAATAGTGCCCAAATGAACCCTTCATAGTGCCCAAATGATTTTTCTTGCGAAAAAAGACAGATTTTGTTTTCCTTTACAAGAGAAATTCATTTGGGCACTATGAGGGGTTCATTTGGGCACTATTTCGGGCACTATTTCGGGCACTATTCGGGCACTATTCGGGCACTATTCAGGCACTAGGCAGGGGCGGTGGAGGGAGGAGGCACGGCAGCTCGGACCCCCCCCTCCTCCCCCTAGCCTCCTCCTCTCCCCTCCGCTTGGCCCTTCCTCTCTTCTCGCCGCGCCCTTTCCCGAGACAGGTGATAA